GCAGTAGTTGAAAATAGGCATTTGGAGAGAGCGGAATCTATGACAAACCCAGTGGAACCTGAAGTTCTAACTGTTGTCCCCGAGAAGCCTGAAGAAGTGGAGGCCTCTGGAAACAGGGAGCTGACGTTTGACGAGAAGCGGAGACTTAGTGAAGACCTTCAGGATTTACCTTTTGATAAGTTAGAGGCAGTTGTTCAGATTATAAAGAAGAGGAATCCAGAGCTCGCTCAAGAAGACGATGAGATTGAGTTGGATATTGATAGTCTTGATCTCGAAACGCTTTGGGAGCTTTACAGATTCGTGACCGAATATAAGGATAGCTCAAGCAAGAAAAAGGATGAACATGGATTAGGATCAGAAAGAGAATCTATTCACACTAGTGTGCAAGAACCGGTGAGAGAAAACAACTATATGTTATTCACTTCTCTCGTTTTTACCATATAAGGGATATTTAGTCTAACGATATCCTGTGTTTTCGTGTTCACAGAGCGCTCTAGTAACTGGCCATGAATCGATTAAAGTTACGGAATTAGGTGAGATTTTAGTTCATAAGATCGTATTAAATTCTGCTATATTAGTCTCTTTTAGCCCCACTGCAATAACTCTACTTTAATTTTGTTTTTGATATTTTAGGTCATGTAGCATCTCCTGTTCGACAAGAAGTAAATGCTGGTGGATCAAGTAGCTCGAACAGTTCTAGTAGTGGCTCAGGCTCGTGTTCTAGTGGTAAATTTCGAAACTGGTTTACCCGTCTCTCCCTCATCAGCATCACATTTCCAAACCACTTTACTCACATTCCACTTTCATTATGCAGACTCTGACAGTGACAGCTCAGGGCATGGATCCGATACCGGTATCTAACCAAGATTCTGAAAGTATTTAGCATAGGCGGGAGCCATCGTGTTGTCGATTTCAAACTTTGTGCATCTCTTTCAATAGCAAAGCTAGGTTGCCTTTTTTCCAACTTCGTCCACATCGAATTGTTTCTGTATTAGGGTTATTGTTAACTGTACAGAAAAGTAAAACATTTCAAGTGTTTTGTTTCGGGCTTGTCATCAATGGAACAGGTTTGTTTTTGTACTTCTTAATTGTTTTCTGGCCTTATGTTCATAATTGCTCTCCTATGACCAGACCATTACTGGATTTTCGCCAGTGACCAGTCTTGCTGAGCCAGATCGGAGAAGAGTTTGTCCTTAAACCAAAACCGCGACCTTCTTCGGATAATTGTTTCTTTAGTGTCTTTTATCATATCAATATCTTAGACCAATTAACAAAAAAGACATGCTACCTAATGTAGAAAGTTCACCAACTGGTGGTTACATGGAACAAAGTCATTTTTTGATGCTTGTATGTGAAGGTATTCGATTCTTTCAAACACCCAACATAGATTCATGAGCTGAACAGGAAGAATAAGAAGTTTTGTAATTCTTCGGTCGAATCTGTTTCAAATGTCGATACAAACTTCTTCAGATTCGCGGATTTTCCAATCCATCTTCCAAGTTGTGCTTGTAAGTTTTATACTTCTAGGATCTGCGAGATGGATCCTTGATGAACTCAAGAGCAACGAGAGTTGTATATTCAAGCTCTATGGCTTCAGACAAAAACAGGCAGTGTTTGTTACCAAGGAAGATCAGCTAGATGAGAGCTGCAATGTCTTCCAAGGACAATGGGTTTGGGACAATGTCTCTTACCCTCTTTATACAGAGAAGAGCTGTCCTTATTTGGTCAAACAAACAACATGTCAACGAAACGGACGGCCTGATTCTCATTACCAAAACTGGAGATGGCAACCGAGCTCATGCGACTTGCCTAGGTGAGAGAATTAGTATGTGTTGATTCATGTTCTCAGATCCAAACTTGAGTAGTGTCTAAAACCTCTGAGATGTTTCAGGTTCGATGCTCTGAAACTGTTGGACGTGTTGAGAGACAAAAGAGTGATGTTCATAGGAGACTCGGTGCAGAGAAGCACATTCGAATCAATGGTCTGTATGGTGCAATCAGTGATTCCTGACAAGAAGAAGTCCTTTCACAGGATTCCTCCTATGAAGATCTTCAAAGCTGAGGTACACAAAAAACTCGAATTCCTAGTAAAAGAGGCAAAGATGGTTTCTTATATTAAAGTGTATGCAATTTGATCAGGAATACAATGTATCCATCGAGTATTACTGGGCACCTTTCATCGTGGAATCGATTTCAGATCATGCAACTAATCATACAGTACACAAAAGGTTGGTTAACCTCGATGCCATTGAAAAACATAGCAAGAGTTGGGAAGGTGTCAATGTTCTAGTCTTTGAGAGCTATGTATGGTGGATGCATCAACCTAAGATCAATGCAACGTAAGCTATATAACACATAAGCAAAACTGAAGTTGCCTGCATTCGAGCGTCTAGAAGGAAAACTTATATGTAATGCATATGCAGGTTTGGAGATACCAGTGAAGTCCGGGAATATAATGTGACGACTGCTTATAGAATGGCGTTAGAAACATGGGCTAAGTGGTTAGAGACGAAGATCAATCCCGCAAAGCAAAGAGTTTTCTTCACGAGTATGTCTCCAACTCATCTATGGTATGTTCCTTCAGAACACAAAACACAGAAGAATTGAAAAACATTACAGATTATAGATAGTTTTTAGAGCAAACCTATTCAATTTCCAACGAAAATGAGAGTGATCTTGGCAGGAGCTGGGAGTGGAATCCAGGGAGCGATGGAACCTGTTATGATGAGTTATATCCAATAGACAAGCAATCATATTGGGGCACAGGATCAAATCAAGAAATCATGAAGATAGTTGGTGATGTTCTAAGCAAAGTTGGAGAAAAAGTCACATTCCTGAACATTACGCAACTTTCAGAATATAGGAAAGATGGACATACAACTGTGTATGGAGAACGCAGAGGGAAGCTCTTGACAAAAGACCAGAGAGCTGATCCAAAAAACTATGGAGATTGCATCCACTGGTGTTTGCCAGGAGTTCCTGATACCTGGAATGAGATTCTCTATGCATATTTGCTACGCAGTCATCGAAATTCCTTCTGATTCTTTCTTGAGAGAGTGTCAAGCTCAAGAACATGAAGTTATAGGCATGAGCGTGACAGAATTTTCATATGAACGCAAGCAATGATAGGATAAAATTTTGGTTATTTCATTGTCAAAAAGGCTTGCATCTCAGAGAAGATTAGCTCATTTTTATGTTCTAATAAAGCACCAGGAGTCTCACTCGAGATAAAAATATAGGCCGGGTTAAAACTTGTACAAAATGATGTGAATATATATATATCTCAGTCTCACAATAGCTCCCACGGCGAATCTTCTGGTTCATGTACCTGTGAGCTTTTGGAGTGTCTAGAATCTTCCCCAATGGCCAGATCTGAACCCATATCCGCATCTCCGAACCAAATTGAAAGCTCTTCATAGTCCTTCTCTCTTCTTCTTTTCGAAGTTAAAGCATCCACTATCTTTCTCTGATGATGATAGCAAAGGTACAGTTATGAGAGATAGTCAATGCATCATTTTGAGGTAATGCTAAGATTTTAAAGGAAGTGGTGCGATAATTGATGATCATGTGTAAGCCGAATTTAAGGTCTAAGATGCAAGCATTCATTACCAAGAAACAATGTTTCAGGTTTATTACAAAAGACATTTCTAAGAGAAAGAAGAGGAAAGCAAGGAACCTTGTATGATCTGAGTTTCTTGGTCCTAAGACGCACTGCATAGAGTGCATTGTCGTCAACAAACGAAGGGTCTTCTCGAACTTCCATGCTGTGCAATGCTTTGGAATCCGATGGAGAAATATCAGATTTGCCATTGGTCACAGCGTCTAGATTACCTACAGAAATTTAAAAAAAAAAAAAACTTGCACATGTTAGAAACAAATTTTTTTTTTTGAAGAAGAAGCTAATTAAAGGGTCTAAAACTTCTAGCAAACAATAGCATAACCAGAAATGAGTAGAACTAAAAAAACTCAAGAAGAGAATAATTGAAGCACCAACCGTCATTAGAGGATCTCATGATTGCCACATTATCTTGAACATGTATATCTAGAATCTTTGTGGCGATCGGATTTAGATTTGAATCATCCGTAGAACTCTGAGTAGATTCAGAATCTACTACAGTCTCAAAACTTCCCACAGAAATTTCAGTAGATTCAGATTCTATGGAAACATCATCCCTGCACGACTCAACTCTATCTTCTTCTACACTTTCTTCCCCTGGAAAAACCGAAGGATCTCCAGCAGAACATTTTTGAGGGGTTAAAGTGTTTGTAATCTGAGATTCTTCATCGGTAATTATTGGTTCTTCATCACCAAGAGTAGTAGCTGATGTCAGATTACCATTACAATACTCTTCGAGCAATGGAGCTCCAGAGAGTATTTCTCCATCGGGCAACAACGAGGTAGCCGATGAATCCTCGTTTAAGCCATCTCCTTGAACTCGTTCCTCAATCCGAACATATCCTGAAATGTCAAAGTTCTGAACTGACGGTGGATCAGAAGGACCTTCACAACTAGGATTCTGTTCCTTCTGCAAATCACAAATTCCAGAAGTTCGATCTTCGGCGACTTCCTCTGGTTCACTTCTTACAGATTCCCAGTCCGAAGGATCACTTGATTTCAAACAAAGCGTGTTCTGCCCAAATATATATTAAAAAAAAAACATCACTTAATCTCTCTAATACTCTCCTAAACATTCACTTGATAAGATTTAAATATGATAATCAACAAATACTGAATCCCACAGAGAGAAGAGTTAGTTACCTTTGAAGTGAAAGTGTCCACCTCCACAAGTATCGTTTCCAACTTGTTGTAGATTTTACCAAACCATGCTCTTCCTTTAGATTCTGTACCCATAGCTCACACTATACGAAACAAAATTATGCAGAAAGTTTCAGACAACAAAAACAGAAGAGGTCCTAACTTAGACACAGCTCAAAAAACCCTCGCTAGGTCTAAAATTTCATCGAAATTTCAGCTGTATTATCGGAAAAGTTTAATACTTTATGAAAGCAATAGACAAATTTCTCGAATTGGCGACCGAAGAACGAAGATCGCTGAAAAAAAAAAGAGAAGAAATTCATAAACGACGCATCGAATTTACATAGGGAATAAAAAACGAGACTTTGAGATGGAAAAACGAGTAAAGGAGATAAACCCTAGAATTGAAAGTAAACATAGATGAGAAAAGGAATAAGAAAATTACCTGCGAAAGTGAGGAGGAGACTACAACATAGGAACAACAAACGATGAAAAAAACCTGAACAGAATCATCTATTCGGGTCATACATGGGCCACATATGGGCTTAAAGTATTATAGTATTGAGTCCTTAACGGGTTATAAATTTAAGGCCCAATAAATAACTTTTGGTCATTTGTTCATGCATCACGCCACAAGTGGCCAAAACAGTGTGTGTGTGTGTGTAACGCATACGTAAATGCTTTCTCTAGAGGAATGATCCAAAATTAGAAGACGTGGATCATGCCACGTAGAGGGAAAGGAGACATGGGTCTGACGATAAATCTACATTGGGAAATGTGAATATGGATTGATCCCTCTCCATTATTCCATTCCAATTTTTCTATTATTATTATTTTATTTTTCGTTAGATTCCATTTTCATTTGATCATGTGTGTATATATATAAATGCAACTCTCTCTCAATACACACATAATTATATATTTTATCCGATTATTCATACACACATTATTGTAAGAGATTGACAATTAATGGCGACTTCCACATTCTCGTCTCGTGGTGCACAAACAATGAACACTATGATCGTCAAGTAAGCTGATTTCAATATTGATAATGCATATTTAATTCATAGATCATAAAGTTATGATTATGTGTTTGTATTATATTTTACGCATGCAATCACATATGTATCATATAGGCCGATGCTTAGAAAATCGATCCACAAGAAGAGTGCATCGCACGATATAGTGAGGGAGACGGTGAAGACAGACGGCGCCGGTCGCGGAGAGGAAATGAAGACGATGAGAGGTTTCTCCGGCGCCGGAGAGACGTCGTCGTCGGCGAGTAGTTGGGTCCCACATGAAGGCACGGGAATATACTATCCAAAGGGACAAGAGAAAGTGATGCAAGATGTGCCTCCTCCTCCAGCTGGCAGCCACGTGGACGAGCTCGTTAACTGGTTCTCATGATCCACATCGTTTCAGTCTCTTTATTTATAATGTCATCTCGCTCGATCTCATCGAAAACTCTATATTGTTATCTTTGTTGCATCTATATTGTTATGTTATCTTTGTTGCGTCTATTATTGTAACTTGTAAGGGGGCAAAACATTAAAATTTATGTGC